TGCGGTTTGGATGTTGTGTACCCTAGAAGCTGTGGCTTTCGACGCTTAGATACGGACCCGTTTGAAACACTAGCGCCTCTACATCGAGTGCCTAACAGTTGTATTTACTAGCTTTTGCCACCAGGTGGCACTTACCAATGCTGAGTACGGGCCTTTAACACCAGCGCCTCTTCTTAGAGCACCTTTCAGCTTTAGTTAATCAAAGTGTCGCTAGATGGCAGTATGCTTTACATGCAGATCATAAAACCCAGCTTTTCTTCCCAGTAATTGTTAAATATTTTCTATTCTATTTAAAAGCAAAGAAGAAGAATATTAGTTGAATTATTTTAAAGTTAAACTTTCTCGCTTTTTATTAAACTCAATCAGCTGAAAACCGTAACCTATCGTCCTAAATGTCGTCAAACTCGGCGCACTCACATAGTGTTCGAAATTCGTAACGCCTATTTGTTGCTATGGCGAATGGGTAGTAGGTATGCTTTAGATTAGTCAACAAGTGCTTGCGGAGCTGCCGCTTACACTTTGAACACAGTCCTTGTGCGTTAGTTTGTGTGATGCGTCGTCCGAAATATGTTTCGTGAGGCTCCAAAACAATTCATTTTATCCACTTCAAGTACCTAGTGTTTGTATCATTTTCGGTATGGCTTTTGGGCTTACTTGATAGCTCCATTTATCCTGTCTTGTGTGAGGATAGTCATCATTCCTGGATATCAATATATAGTTGAAAGCAGGAAGTAACGATGAAGTCTTGTAAAAAGTTGCAGTGTTTGCATGTATCATTCAATGATGAGAATATAGCCCAGGCTCCACTGCCCACTAAACAATTTTTCTGTGATTTTGCGATTTTGCCATAATGCGATATCGCGATAATGCAAAAATGATCAATGTTCTGAACTTTTCTGCGATAATGCGTGAGCGATATTGTGACATTTAGCAATGAGATTTCGGCAGTGTGGCTTAGTGCATCAGTTTGCACTAGATATACATTTTCTGGCATCGTGAATTGCATCTCATTCTCACATTATTATAAAAACGCAGGGAAAATTGTTAAGTGGAGCCTGGGCTTACGTTAATCCCGCACTGCCTCATGGGGAATATTTATATGCCGTCACATACCTGGGGTTAACAAAAGATTGATTGCTCTGATCGGCTACTTGAGTGTCAGCTTTGGAAATTGATTATTTCCCTGAGGTGTTCCCAACTGATACTGCATGAATATCAATGACCTGATTTGATTAACATTCTGATCCTTGAGTTCTGTCTGTGTCCGACTGTCTGGCCCCTGCCTGATTTTGGGTCCGTGTCTGATACCCAGTCCAAGTCTGCTCTCCTGTCTGAGTCTGCTGCCCGGACTGTCCGGTTCGTGCTGTCTCAACTGACTGTGCTGCTCGGTACTGACCAGTGCCCCTTTCTGCCGATCTGCAGGCTCTTACTCTGATGCTGGAGCAGCTCACGTTTCCTGTCGAGCTCAGCCAGCTGAAGCCTCCAGGCTCACAGCCACCATTGGACGGTGGGCCTGGGCTGGCATGTGGACTGTAGTGCCAATGCCGGTGTGCGAGACGACTAGGAGAGGATGGGCCGCGTCACCTAGTCCCCAGGTGGGCGGCCTGCTCATGTTCTCAGGTACTGTCGCCAGTAGTCCAGTGTGTTCCTTCATGCCCTTTCATTTCCATTCAATCCCTTGCAGTGAAATATGTTTTATTGTAAATGGCCTAAAGGGAATGCATGGCTTTGAACATTTACTCCTATTACTGTATGCCTGGCCTATTCAAATACATTAGCCAGAGGGGTGTGGTAATAACTGGTGTAAGCAAATTGACCACGGTCAAAAACGAATTACCAAGTCAACATTTTGGGATGGCCTCGTTCAAAAAACGGCTAAGAGCTTCGGTTTAGACAATTATTTTATCGTTGGCATACAGTAAAATACATACCAAACTCGGCCGGTGATAAATTTTCAAGACCTCAGTCCTTACTGATTTTTGAACTCGGCCTTCGGCCTCGTTCAAAAATTCAGTAATGACCTCGGTCTTGAAAATTTATTTACACCGGCCTCGTTCAGTATTATATATTACAACAGGATTTCCAAAGCATACAACCTGAAGGCTGAATCACATTGTCATAACCTTGTAGTTAATGTCTGCTTACACAAAACTTTTGTTATCTTAACCACATATATGAGTGGAGCATTGAGCAGGGCATGGCAGATGTAATGATTGATGGTTGCTGGCTTAAGCTCGGCATTTATCAGTTCTATGATAACTCAGTGTGTGTCATATTTTGCCTCCATTATGAGATAGACATAGTCTGTCATAACAGCTCCGGCTTATACGTCTGTTATGGTTGGAACATTGAAGAACGTCTCCCATCAACACTGCTGTAAACGCAACTTATGAAAGGCAAATTGTGTCTCAGATGACATGCATGATGTAGACACTGTTGTGTCTGCGCGTCGCCGAGCGGTCACAACCCAACAGACGCATTATAACTTGTGAGTTCCAGGGGGTGCTCGAGCACCCACAGCGCGGCCGGGGCGTGCGAGCATGCTGCCGCCGCCGGCCGCGGTATAGCGGGCCGGCTGGGGCGCCGCCGGCGGGTCCCCGGCGACGGAGCGGAGCGAGGATCAGCAGGGAGCGCAGAGCACCGGACGAGCGGGGTACAGCGCGGCAGAACAGTCTGTACGTCAGTGCGTGAGCAGCAGGAAATGCCGAGTCACTATGCCATGCTGGGAAGTTACTGTTAAATAACGCAGGGCTCAGTATTCAGCTAACACATGTAACAGCGGTCACTTACAACCCCGTACAAGCACCTCAACCAGTTGTTACTCACGTGTTTGTTATCCCCTGCATTGCCCTACAAGAGTGCCTTATGACCTCCCCCCCCCCGTGTTCCCAGGTGGTCAGCGCCGTGCCCCGGCACCAGACAGCACCTGAACACGCCGTGGAGGAGCCGCTCGTGGTGTGCCAACGGGGCGTGTTCGGCAGCCTCCAGTTCGTAGAGCAGGCGCGGCGGCAGCTCAGCGAGTCGCCTGCTCAGGGGCACAGGGGAGCCGGCGCGACCACGGCCCGCCGCCAGCGGTGGCCGCCGTACCCGCCGCCGCGCCGACCGCCGGACGAGCGCGCGATGGCGAAGCCGGCCACGACGGCGACGCCGATGGCCAGCGCGGTGCCGGCCGAGATGCCTTCGGTGGCGGAGCTTTCGAAGGCCATCGAGGTCAGCAGGGCGATCAGCAGCACTGCAGGTGGGCGTTCATGGCTGCCGGCGGGGGGGGGGGGGTAGACAGACGGCCGACGGACCGAGCGCAGACGACTGACGGCAGCGACACGCAGGAACCGACCGCTGACCTTACGAACCATGATGCCTCATAATTTCATTAGATAGTTTATACAACACCATCCATTTAAACTGCCGTTATGATGAAAGACGGGACAGTGAAAATCCGTTTGGAGCCAATTCAGATTGATTTCACTTTTTTCGGTAGGGTAGGACCCAGAGCGGCGTTTCTGCTGTGCGCCGTGGCTCAGCTGGTCGAACTGAGTGGGCGCTGAGCGGGGAGCAGAGCGGACGAGAGGACGGCACTGGGGAGGGCAGGCGGCGCCGCTCTGTAAATGCCGACCGGTGATCCTCCGCGGGACGTCCGCCCGCTGCCGAGGCCGGGCTCGGCACCGTGGGGGCCGCCGCGCCCCGGCGGCCGCCAGGTGACGGCGCCGGCCGGTGTGGGGGTAGGACCGGCCGGCGGGGCGTGACGTCACACACGGCCGGGTCAGCCCCGCCGGCCGGAGACGTGCTAAAGGACACGGACACTTGGATATCACGGACCCAGTTGGACACGGACACGGACTGGCTTCTGATCCTGTTGCACTCAATGCAGGCAGTGAAGTCCATTGTGAGTGTTCTACGTCCCTGCATTGATCGTTCCCGCATCTGATGCTTACACCCTGCGACACAGGGCCGGACAGTGTTTGGAGCTGTTCGGACTCTGGCGGCGGCGGCGGCGGCGACTGACGACCGGCCCGGCGGCGCGCGCAGCATATCTCGGGTCAGGGCGGCGACGTCCCACCGGGACCGGGCGGAGACTGTGAGTTATGAAAAGTAGCGGGATATGAAAAGTTTTTCGTCTGGTGGTGGGACACCTGTGTGGCGATTTTGAACGAAATCGAGAGGGGCTCCCAATATACCAAAATAATTAAGATGGAAATTGAAAATTTCCATGCAGTGTTCCCGACTGATTTAGCATGAATATAATTGAACTGACCTGATTTCATTGACATTCCGATCCTTGAGTATTGTCTGTATCTGCTGTCTGGCCCCTGTCTGATTTTGGGTCCGTGTCCGATACCCAGTCCGAGTCTGCTGTCCTGTCCGAGTCCGCTCACCGCTGCCCGGATTGTCCGGTCTGTGCTGTCTCCACTGACTGTGCTGCTCAGTGCTGACCTGTGGAGCAGCCCAAGTTTCCCATCGAGCTCTGCCAACTGAAGTTGCGCAAATGAAGTCGCTGTTAATGGCTCGTTTTCAGTGCGAGCTCCCACCGGTTAAGAGGTTATCGTTGTCATCTGCATTAGAGCCCGAACGGGTGGCTTGTGAGGATATGTCTCATTTCTCAGAGGCTGTGACTGTGTGTCTGTCTGTGTGTGTCTGCTGCAGAGGATGGTGTGGCGGCTCTGGGGGCGGCGGTGCCAGACTCGGCCGTGCCCGCTGGCTCGCTGTCCGGCGCCGCGGGCCGCTGAGCCAGCCGGAGCTCAGCGGTTCTCCTCAGCAGGCCGGCAGGACACGTCTGTCAGTCAGTCACCAGACGTCTGGCCAGAAGCGGCCGACTCACTGGCGTGTCAACCGAGCCGCGGCCGGACGGCCGTCGCCCCCTCGCCGCCAGTGCCGTCCAAGTTTGTCTGCAATGAGATACGGGAACCGACTACGAGAGCGCCCTAGAGTGCGGCACCGGCGCGCCGGGCTGCCCGGCGGGTGGAGTACCGCGCCGGCAGCGCCGGGCCGCCGCCGCCGGCCGCGACCGCTCTCCCACGCCGCCGTCCCGGTCCGAGTCGCCGGCGGCGGCCCGGTCCCAGCCGGCTGACCGGGGGTCGCTCCAGACGGAGCCCGATTGTGAGCCGGGGCGGGCTGCGTGCGGCAGACGACCGGCCCGAGCAGCCAGCTGAGCCGGCGGACCGTCACCGCCGCCAGGGTACGTGACTGGGTGGTAGCCGCATTACGTGACCAGTGCTCCTAGTAGCTCTAAATGGAGACAGATCAATAATACTTTGCTACTTGATGAACATTTTGCCGTTATTAATCTACGGTTCATCTATGTGATCCATCTATTGGCCATCTGGGCGCCTCCCGGGCCGTGCAGGACGCGCCAGGAAGGTGGTCCGCTCAGCCAGCATCACACCGTTCCGGCGTCTCCACCCTCAGGACCTGCAGATCCTTCTTCACACCCCAACCCCCTGTTCCGGGCTGGACAGGCAACTTTATCCCATACGGGAATGCCCGTAAGAGCACTCCCGTAGCCGGGTGCGGTGGGTGCTTGGGGGGGGGGGGGGGAGGGCTGGTCGGCCTGTCCTCTGGATGGGCTCATTCCCGGCGACTCACAAGGGTGCTCGCCCAGACCAATGCCTCCCCCTAATTCCTGTCATCCTTCCGGCCCTGAGTGGTCTCGTCAGACCGAAAGGGCCTACCCAAACAAAACAACAAACAAATCAGCCCACATGGCAATGCTTTGAAAATAGGATTGACCTCCCTAACCATTAACTGTGCGTTTGCCGCCCACCTGCCCCCCCCCCCCATTTCCCACTGATTTATGGACGCTGAACAGGACATCACCCAAGGCACGGAGTGAGCCACCGGTCCAGGGGATGAGTCTGTCGGTGCCGGTGGAATATATAGAGGATCCGGACGGATGAAGGATGGCCACGGAAGACTGGAGAGCCGCGGTGACGGCGCGCGGCGCTGGTTCACCGTGGGAGGTTCGCCGCCGCGCTGTCCGCGTGCTGGATACAGCGGTGTACCGTGCACCGCTCCGGAGCCGGGCTAACCAGGACCGCCCGGTGGGCCCGCACCCGCCCGGGGGCGGCACGCTGCCAGCGCCGCCCGAGGAGAACGGGAGCAGCGGCAACACTGGCGGGCCTGGTGGCATCGGCGGCCACGCCCGGCTCCAGAGTAGGTGCTCGGACTCGGGGTCCTGTTTCACGGCCGCCGCTAGCGCGCTGCCAGCACACGTGTAAAATTGAGTTTCCATGGAGACATCAACAAACTCGTATCTCCAACACTGCCACAGTTTGTGACGTCAGGTCGCGAAATGCGCCGGCAGCGTGATATCAGCGTCCAGTGAAACACCGCTCTGCAGTCACTGAGACAGAAAGAATAATATTCAAGCATCGATAAATGCACCATTAGTAACCCTGGAAGAGCAATAGTTTATTTTGTTTTACGGTGAATAAAACATAGGCAGTTGAAAATACACATACGTGTATTATTTAATTTTAGGCTTGTCTCGCCGTACTGTACCTACATACAAGTCATTCGCCATCCTGGATGAATTGTGAAATCCCGTTTCTAATAGATCGGCCTCGGCCGTGCCGGCTGCACCATATGCCGTCGGGCCGGCGCCGCTCTCCGCTCGGCTGCCCTCTGTCAGTTCTGTCATCTGTCAATATCGCACTGGTCAGAGGGCGTCAGCCTCGGGCTGACGGGGTCGCCGCTCGGGGGCACGTACTCCCGAGGACCTGCAGTGTGGCCACAGCTGGTACGACGGTCCGTGTCTTGTCCACTGCCACGGTGTGGATGCTCGCATTTCCTATTGTACCGAACAGGCAGCACTGCAGGATCAAAGTGATGAACTCAACACAGGCCCGAGTACCGTAGGTATAGCCGACTGTTCGTACCGCCTGATTTAGAGTTAGCCTGCCTGCATCGATCGCAGAATATTGCGCATTGCATATCTAACTACATCGCTCAAAAGCTCATTGAAGGCGACAGTTCGCCGCTGCCAGACCCGGGCTCGCGTCTTGCGGCACAGCGGGAGTTCAGGGGCTGTACTACTAGAGCCATCTAGGGAGAGGAGCGGCGCTACTCTGGCCGCTTCGAGTTCGTTGTGGCGCAGCCGGCAGCTGGGTGCCGGAGTTGGTACATAACCGTTTGAAGCAGGTTGATCAAGACTGCATGCATTTTCTTTGTTAGGTCCGATGCCTGGCTTTTGCATTCCTTCACATACAGAGTGAAACAGTAAAGGCTTAAAGCCCTATCCGCTTACGTGCCCATCGTGTTTACGCTCATGGGCGGAGAATTGTCATAATCCCAGGGGAGCGAATGGTAGTCGAATGGAAGCGTCTGAATAAATGGCCTCTGATCTTAGATCGCCGATATCAAAATTCCGATATGTTTGTCCCAATCCATAGTTTTTTTTGGCACTAATTGACGTAGAAACACTTGGAAACTTGGTTTCAAATTTTGTGCATGGTGGGATCCACTCAGATCATAGCTGCATATTCTTGATTCCTATCATCAGATCCTATGAGATCATAGATCTAGGACAGACTTTTCATACCGGATCCGGTCGCCTGATAGATCCTAATCTGCAGTTTGCTTCGAGATCCACTGATGTCTGAGATCATAGATCCATCACTCGAATCCATGCACATGTCTGTCGAAGAGCGAGGGCTGACTGACCGAGTGAAAAACTGGATTCTGATTTCGAAGCTACCCTTTGGGAGTTTTCGTTCGGTCTTCTTATCTAATTTGCTTTTCGACGTAAACTGGCGCGGCCAAATACGCTCTTCCCTCCCGCTGCCCCGCCCCCCCCCCCGCCGGCCGCCCGACGCGTATCCACCAGCTGTGGCGTATAGGTATGGCCGGCTGAGAGACCGGCCGGCCGAGTTTGGTTGTTCATCGGGTGTCCGTGTTTTGGCAACTGCTGATTATTAGCATAGGTTTGCAGCCAATTGTTCGGCCTAATTGTGTCTTAATCGTACACTGGCTGATGCTGAAAGGGAGTACTGCACATTGCAGGGCGTTCTCTACAAAAAAATCGTCCCAAATTATCCAGACTCCTCCGGTTTGGGTACCTCATGCTTCGCTGAGATCGTGAAAGCAAGACCTTTTCTGGTAAAAATTGCTGTTTTGTTGTCAATTAACGGAAAGCGACAAATTTTGAACGATTTAGGAGGCTGCCGAAGGGGCGAATGCACCAGATACCCCCTTCTCTGTGAGATAATCAGATATTTTTGCAATCGATTTAGCACACCTTTCACTGTTTGACGGCGCGTATTCTGAAGCGGCCGGGCCGGCGGCGACCTATCAGGGGGCCGCCCGGTCACCGCTCCGCCAATCAGGTGGCCGCTTATTCTGACCAATCAGCGGCCGCCCCCGGTCGGCCCACTGCCGCCTAACCTCGAAATGGGCAACGGTGCGGAGACGTCACGTGCATTGTTTACGTTCATTGACCCGGCGGATTATCGACGATTGAATTTTCTGTTTAGATATTCCACGACTGACTGAAGAGTCGTGATAGAATCAAATACGAGCAACAAGCTAACCTTCATAAGCGTGCCTGCAATTTATAGGTAAGTTTAAAGTTATGCCTATGAGTGAAATTTTCCGCTAATGATGATTCGACTGGTGCATTCATGTGTAGTTTTGGTATCATGATGTTGCGAAGTGCCTACCGTGATAGCAGATTTTCGTCTTGCGCTTGCATAGGTGTCCGAATTTTTTTTTGTGGCGGTTTCAACTTGCTTTACACGAAGACAAATATGACGTTTTTCTGCCGAGTTAATGCATTCAGTGTCGTGACATGAACCTTCAAAATTCATTGGACGGCGATTGGTGCGGCTATCAAAAAGAGAACCCCCTGTCCCCCCCCCGCCCCCCTCCCAATAGCAATAGGCGGTCGATGGGTCGATGCTGTCTTGCCGAAAAGCGGTCGGAAGAAACTCGAATGACGACAGCCGACCAGCTTTTCCGTGCTCAACTTCTCAAGTATAATCATCGACTGGATTTCTTTTCGTCAAACATGCACATCCCTCACTTATAAATATTTGAGCAATTGTCTGGTTCTAGCCCTACTTCTATCACGGACCGTGGTCCAAA